GCTTTATTTTTTATTTTTGAGTTGGAGTCTCACTCTGTCGCCCAGACTGGAGTGCAGTGGCCGCTCCCGGCCACCGCAGCCTCGGTCTGCTGGGCTCCCGCGATCCTTTGGCCTCAGCCTTCCAAGTAGCCGGAATTATAGGCTTGCGCTACCACGCCCGACTGATTTTTTGATTTATTGTGGAGATGAGGTCTCGCTGCCCAGGCGGGTCTTGAACCTGCGGGCTCAAGCAATCCACCTCATTTGTAATAATACAGTATTAATAGCTACTGTGTTGTTCTCTGTATCAGCCCTAGACTCTTTCAGTGGATTGTCTCAATCATCACACTCATTGCTTGGAGTGATACTGTTATCATCACTATCCCCATTTTACAGAAGAAACAAATTCATAGGGATTAAAATATTTACACAGTTTCATTCAGCAGTAGGGATAGAGCTGGGGATTCAAAGTCAAGCATTTCACCTCATTACATTAAATTGCATTAACTTCTGTGAAAGGGAGCTGGCACCCTGCATTGGGCCTGAAAAATAATCATAGCTCAGTGACCGTACAGTTCCACTCTGCCTTCTTGTCAGGCATCACCTGTTCTTTTTTGCTTTACTGATTTATTTTTTTTGGAGCTGGAGAGTCTCTGTCGCCAGGCTGGAGTACAGTGGCACACTCATGGCCACCCCAACGTCGACCCACCGGTCACAGGCGTTCCCTCTGCCTCAGCCTTCTATGTAGCCGGAACTACAGGTGCATGCGGGCTCAGGCTGTCCACTCGCTTCAGCCTCCTAAAGTATGGGGATTTCAGGCTGAGCCACCGAGCCCAGCCAGACATCACCTTTTCATGTAATCTGGGAGGGCAAACTATTAACCAGAATATTACTTGCTGTGAATGAAATCAGAGATAAAGATAGTTTGTTTGACATGTCATCTCAGGTGAGCCAAAGTGAAGACTTTTCTCCTGATTGGATTATGCATATGTCAGATTATTATTATTATTATTTTCTGAGTAGGAGTCTCTATCATCCAGCTGGTGATTTCATGAGAAAACCGTATAATGTGAAGGGTTACCCATGTGAAGGATGATAAGTTATTCATTAAACAACCCATTCTGCAGTGGTGATACTGGGAAACAGCAAAACAAATGAAGACAGAAATGCTTGATAGCTGTCATTAACAAAGCTCAAAAGTAATCAACTAAAAAACTATGTTGGGCCGGGCTCAGTGGCTCAGCCTGTAATTCTAGCACTTTGGGAGGTGGAGGTGAGAGGATTTCCTAAGCCCAGGAGTTCCCCCAGTCTGGGCAATATGGTGAGATCTTGTCTCTACAATAAATTAAAAAACTAGCTGGGCATGATAGTGCACGCCTGTAGTTCCACCTACTTGGAAGGCTGAGGCAGAAGCATCGCCTGAGCCCAGCAGGTTGAGGCTGTGGTGGCTGTCAGTTGGTGGAGTGCCACTGCACTCCAGCCTCGGCTGTAGATTGAGACACTGACTCAAAAATAAATAAATAAATAAAGCCAAAGTTTAGTGGGAGGAGGGAGTTAGGCTGTTGCAGGGAGGTGGCCTGAGAGCTCGGAGGGGCTGCTACCACCTGCCCCTCTAATTGCATCAGGAACACTAGAAATTAATTACCTTAGTGATCATGGGAAATGTTCTTTTGTGTGGCTGTTTTTCCTTAGTTCAGTATTCTTTTTTTTTTGGTCAAAAGAGTTTACTGTTCTAATCATAAAGATAAATTTTGCCGGGCTTGGTGGCTCAGCCTGTAATCCCGTGCCTTGGGAGGCTGAGGTGAGTGGATTGCCTGAGCCCATGGGTTCGAGACCCGCCTGGGCAACTTGATGAGACCTCATCTCTACAATAAATCAAAAAATCAGCCAGATGTGGTAGCATGCACCTGTAATTCTGGCTACTCGGAAGGCTGAGGTGGAAGGATCGCCGGAGCCCAGCGGGTCGAGGCTGCAGTGGCCGAGAGTGGCCACTGCACTCCAGTCTGGGCGACAGAGTGAGACTCCAACTCAAAAAAAAAAAAAAAAAATTTTTTTTCTCATACAGAAGTGACTACCAATCTCAGATCCAGAAGTCTTGATAAAGAAAAGGAAGAGAGCTGAATGAAGTACACAGGATTGAGAGTGGTGAGATTCAATTGGTGATTTCAGATTCAAAGGCAGTTAAAGTAATTCAAAGAGAATATTTTGTACAATTCTATTCTTCTATGAAATGAAATGAACAATTACTTAGGAAAGTATATATTGTCAGAATGGAATCAAGAAGTAGAAAATATCCATAGGTCAAAGAAAGTATAAGTAACTGGGCGTGGTGGCTCATGCTTGTCATCCCAGCATTTTGGTAGGTGGAAGCGAGATGATTGCCTGAGCCCATGAGTTGGAGACCAGCTTTGGAAACTTGGTGAGACCTTGTCTCTACAATAAATCAAGAAAAATTAGCCAGACGTGGTGGTGCACACCTATGGTTCATCTACTTAGAAGGCTAAGGTGGAATGACTGCTTGAGCCCAGTAGGTCGAGGTTGCGGTGGGGTGGCTGTGAGCGTGCCACTGCACTCCAGCCTGGGCGACAGAGTGAGACTCCAACTCAAAAAAATAAAAAGTGGTTGGGAGTGGTGGCTCAGCCTGTAATCCCAGCATTTTGGGAGGCTGAGGCAAGAGGATTTGCTGAGCCCGGGGGTTCGAGACCAGCCTGGGCAACTTGGTGAGACCTTGTCTCTATGATAAGTCACGAAAATTAGCTGGGCGTGGTGACGTGAGCTTGTTGTTCCAGCTACTTGGAAGGCTGAGGTGGAAGGATTGCCTGAGCCCAGCAGGTCAAGGCTGTAGTGCCACTGCACTACAGCTGGATGACAGAGTGAGACTCTAACTCAAAATAAATAAATAAAAAGTATAACTAAGCCGGGCTCGGTGGCTCAGCCTGTAATCCCGCGCCTTTGGGAGGCTGAGGTGAGTGGATTGCCTGAGCCTGTGGGTTCGAGACCCGGCTGGGCAGCGAGACCTCATCTCTACAATAAATCAAAAAATCAGCCGGGAGTGGTAGGGCATGCCTGTAATTCCGGCTACTTGGAAGACTGAGGCGGAAGGATCGCCGGAGCCCAGCAGGTCGAGGCTGCGGTGGCCGGGAGCGGCCACTGCACTCCAGTCTGGGCGACAGAGTGAGACTCCAACTCAAAAAACAAAAAAGTATAACTAAATAGATCTTTCTGGCTTAGCTTTCCAAAAGTAGGCTTAGGTATCAGTGTCTCAAGCTTTTGTTTGCTCCTTAAAAAAAACAAACTAATCTTTTTCTTTTTAGAGATAGGGTCTTGCTATGTTGCTCAGGCTAGTTTTTGACTCCATCCTGGGCTCAAGGGATTTTTCCACCTCCGCCTATTGAGTAGCTGGGACTATAGTCATGTGCCACTGTTCCCAGCATTTATGTGCTTCCTCTGTAGCTCTTAAATTTTATAGCATTTACAACAGCTTGAAGTTATTTAATTTGTCAGTTTACTGGCTAAATTTTTGTCTTCCTTCAGCAGACTGAAGGCTTTTTGAGAGCAGGAACTGTTGTCTCTTTTGGTCTTGACTATTTTCTTAGTCACTGAGCAAATATTTGTTAAATACATCAGCAGATGAATGAATTTAACTGTGAGAGCAATTGTCTTCTGAAGTTCTGAGGGGTGCACCTTGTAGTTGAGTCCTTGATAAGCCTTGTTGAGGGTGGGTCTCCTCAGTTCCAGAGACCCCAGGATACTGTATGATAGAGGAATAGGAACTGGTTGGTGGAGGGCACACTTGTGTTAGAATGAGGGTGCTGACGGTTTCATGGAGCTTTGCGTTGTGAATAATGCCTGTTTGTTTTTTATGTGTAGTCAGTGATGCTACACTCTGGGCAGACTTTGCCTGTTTCATAAATATTTAATTGGCTTTTTCAGGAGAATAAAGGCAGCCCTGTTGATGACTGAAAATGACAAAGCATCCACCTAACAGACGAGGAATCAGCTTTGAAGTGGGAGCCCAGTTGGAAGCCCGGGATCGTTTAAAAAACTGGTACTTTTACATTTTTCTGTTATTTGAAGCCCTCCAGGAAAGGATTTTTGTCAGCACTGTTGAAGAGTGATCTAGACTTTTCGTGGTGTTTTCCTGCTCTATGATTGCTGGAAGATAGAAGGAGACTTAAGTCCTTTCTCTTGGGTGCAGGGACCCCTGTGTCAGGGGGACCATACTGTCAACCCTTCTTCATACTTGTTTCCCCATTTTCAAGTTGCTCTTCATCTGAAGGAGTTCTGGGGAAGAAAAAGCATGAGTGGCTACAGGGAAGGGGAGAGTTACTAAAGGCAGCTCTAAAATCAGGGATGAAATAGTGAGTGAAAAGGTGTTAGATGAGAGCGCTGATGTGTTGTGAACTCCCTCTCGTCTTCTGGACTGATGCTGTATGGTTGAAATATAGTAGTCACGTAGGGGCACTGTCAGGATGATTAGGTTCAGAAGCTGAGGGTTTGCAGTCCTGATTGTGTCATTGACTTGTGACATATGACTGATAATTAGGCAATTTGTGCATCTACTTCATTTAGAAATGTGGGTAGTGGTAATATTGACTTTATAGGGTTATTTTGTTAATGATGATAGCATATATGGGGAAAGGCTTTATAAACTGTGAAATGATTGTTGTGGTTGAAGACATCCTAGGATTTGTTGATTTGTTAGTGCTCAAGGTGAGGATGGATATTTCAGTCCTCAAATGATTTTGAGTTTTTATAGGAAAGAGTTTAGCCCTTTTGGGGGTTATGTCAAAATAGACAGATTGACCAGTTCTTGAGGTTATAGGAAGACAGGAGAAGAGAGAGAGGGAAGTGGTTGGTGCAGAAAACTGTCTTTGCTGTTAGAATTAGAGACACTTTGAACACTTAGTTGTTTTTAGGCTGTTTATTATCTGAAATTAGTTACTTTTCTGGCTTCAATTTTTTTTTTTTTTGAGTCAGGGTCTCACTTTGTCATCCAGGCTAGAGTGCCCTGGCATGATCTCAACTCATCAAAGCCTCAACCTCCTGGGTCCAGGCAATCCTTCCGCCTCAGGGTCTCAAGCAGCTGGACCTACAGGCATGCGCCAGCCACCCTATCTGGCTAATTTTTTTGATTTTTGTAGAGATGAGGTCTTACTGTGTTTCCCAGGCTAGTCTCCAACTCCTAGGCTCAAGTCATCCTCCTGCCTCTGCCTCCCCAGGTGCTGGGATTTTTTTTTTTTTTTTGAGTTGGAGTCTCACTCTGTTGCTCAGACTGGAGTGCAGTGGCTGGGAGCGGCCTCGACCTGCTGGGCTCCGGTGATCCTTCCACCTCAGCCTTCCAAGTAGCCGGAATTACAGGCATGCGCTACCACGGCCGGCTGATTTTTTTGATTTATTGTAGAGATGAGGTCTCGCTGCCCAGGTGGGTCTTGAACCCGCGGGCTCAGGCAATCCACTCACCTCAGCCTCCCAAAGGCGCGGGATTACAGGCTGAGCCACTGAACCTGGTTGGTGCTGGGATTTTAGGCATGAGCCACTGCATCTGATTGGTTTCAGTATTTTATTTTGTTTTTGTTTTTATTTTTTATTTTTTTTGAGATGGAGTCTCACTCTGTCGCCCAGACTGGAGTACAGTGGCCGCTCCTGGCCACTGCAGCCTTGACCTGCTGTGGCTCTGGCGATCCTTCCGCCTCAGCCTTCCAAGTAGCTGGAACTATAGGCGCACGCTACCACGCTTGGCTAATTTTTTTTTTATTTATTGTGGAGATGAGGTCTCGCCAAGTTGCCCAGGCGGGTCTCAAGCCCGTGAACTCAGGCAATCCACTCACCTCAGCCTCCCAAAGGCACGGGATTACAGGCTGAGCCACCGAGCCCGGCTTGTTTTGTTTTTTGAGTCAAAGTGTCACTCTGTTGCCCAGGCTGGAGTGCAGTTGCATGTTCATGGCCACCGCAGCCTTGACCTGCTGGTTTCAGGCGATCCTTCCACCTGTCTTTCAAGTAGCTGGAACTACAGAAGTGTGCCACTATGCCTGGCTAATTTTTTGATTTATGGTAGAGATGAAGTCTGGTCATGTTGCCCAGGCTAGTCTTGAACCCCTGGACTCAGGCAGTCCTCTCGCCTCTGCCTCCCAAATTGCTGGGATTACAGGTGTGAGCCACTGTGCCCAGCTTCAGTTTCAGTATTTTTTTTTTTTTTTTTG